ATAGCAAGGGACCATTTCTTTACAAAAAAAAATCAGTTAAATGAAAGTAGGTTTCTATTAATGTACATCGCTATTCAATTATGTGCTTTCAATTGAAATGAAAAGGGCAAAATGGGTATTATAAAACTGTAGAAGAAAGGAACCAATATCTCACTCTACAAATTATTAGAATGACAGTGGACATTTTTTACTTTTAGCAATAGAATACATACTAACTTTTAATTTCAATATGCTTTGTTTGTGTGCAATTGACTGAATTTTAATACAAATCCAATAAACTTTACGTATCGTAAATTTCAATACAAATCCATTACTTTTATATTTCATAACTTTGTAATAAATTTAAACTTATTCATAAAATTCTTTTAAAATTAATTGTTAAATTTAGTAAATTTTATTTAGTTGCTTGATTGTATTAGGATCTTTAATTTTGAAAATTTTTGTAGACTAAAACTTGGACAATAACATTTTGATTTACATGTCAAAACAATCGCTTTTACATCATCTCTCTCGTAGCATTTCAATCAAGATTTGGTTAATAAAAGTTAAAGCAATGGTACGATCATTATGAAATTGATGATGTAGGTTACAGAAAAAAAAACAAACAAATTGTGGCAGCAAATACCAAATATACAAAATAATGCAAAATAAATTACATTTTACTGCTAGGTAGTGGTTGTTGAATGCCTTCGGATCCAAGTTCAAATTGGGTTTCCAATTAATCGCCAATAAGCTCAACATTTCTTTTTCTACCTGAAAACAACACACTAGACATGTGTCAAACATAATACACACAATCAGAATCATATCAGTACAAAAAATAAAAATAAAAATAAACATGGTGGGAGAAAGAGGAAGAGAGGCGTATGAGTATGGATATCGATTTGGTGTAGTTTAGGGTTTACGTTAGTGTTTAGAATCGAGCAAAAATGAGAAAAGTATTAATGCTATAACAGTTTAATCGTAAAATTATTATGTACCTAATAAAGAAATTGGATGCCGAGAATTGTAATATGATTCAATAAACACCAATTAACGGAAACATGGAGAGAGAAAAATGGAAACAGTAAGCGAGAGAGGGAGTCCGAGCTAGGGTTACAAGGAGAGTCGGGTGGAGATTGAGAAGTGAGAAAAACAGATGGTAAGACACTGTGACCGAAGAGAGATACATAACACTATCCCATATTTATCTCTGGTTGATCGATACATAACTCCAATTTGACTTCAAACATGTAAGGATTCCTATCCTTGAAACACCCATGAACATATCTTCTGATTAATCACTGAAATGTGATTCCTTCTTCTTCGATTTCTGTGTTTGTGCTGAAATCATGTTTAGGGTTAGGGTTCATTCTCCTTTTCTTATCTCTTCGATTCTCCCCAGGTTTTAAGGCCAAAATACGCTTCACATTTCATAGTGTGTATTTTTCATTAAAAGTAATAAATTATTAAGTTTAATATTTTTAATTATACTCACAGTTACACAATATAAACAAATATCAAATATAGATTTTATATTATTTTTAAATGTAAAAAGTTTGAAAATTATAAATCAATAAAAAATATAAAAAAAATAGATTTTGGTATATATATGATATTAAAAAACATTAAGAAAAGCAAATACAATATTAACAATTTAGGTTGGGCAAATATAATATTTAGATGTTTAGCAAAGACATATACCATATAAGAGTTTGGCAAATACGAATATTACAATTCATAAGTTTTATGAATTAAAGATATATTTTTATTACATAATTAAATTTTAAATTCTATTTAACATTAACATCTTTGGGTTCCATGTGTTTTTACCTGATTGTAGAAATATAACAATGAGTTGTCAACATTATAAACATCAAATAGTGGAATATCATATATATCAAATGATGAGCTCCGTAAAAAAAATTCAAACTGATAAGCACACTTCCTAATTTTACAACAGGTTGCAAAGCGTGTTAAGAATCCAAATCACAAAACCTACTACACACAATTCAAAAATAAATTGCACAATAACGAGAAAAGGTGATTGTAAAAACATAATTTGTGTGGTATGGATGGAGAAGGCTACGCATAGAGTTGATGTGGCAAGGCCACCTACGCGTGAATACCGCCCAAGGTGTGTGTAGCTGCTTTAGGGCGTGGGTGCAGGTACGGGCGAAGACGGACGTTGTGATTGGTTAATGTCTTTTTTTTTTTTTACCGTTTCCTCCTTTGAACATCGCAAAAAAAAAAAAAAAAAAAAAAAAAAAAAAAAAAAAAAAAAAACTAAAAGTTAACACACATACACGATTTAAACAAACATATTTTCAATCACTCTTTCAAACACGCTTTCAAACATTAATATGAATAATTTTGCAGGCTCGATTTCTTCTTCATCTGATGATGATGACGACTCTCATGATAACTTGGTGTTGCACACGTTGTTGTCTGCGGCACACGAAATGGTGTGACAAAGAGGCGAAAGTTCAAATATGGAGAAGAAGCATAGAATTTCAATAAATCGAGATCGTATCGCGACATACGAGCTTTTCTAATGTGATTACTTTGCCCCTAATAGTTTGTACGACCTATCAAAATTTGAAGAACAATTCCGTATTAATAGATTTATTTTTACGTATAGCTAGAGATTTGGAAAACAATTATGAATTTCTCCAATTGAGATGGGATGCTAATAGTAAACGTAGTTTTAGCACAATATAAAAATGCACAACAGCTCTTAGACAATTGGCATACGGCATAGCCGCAGACGCGTCAGATCAGTATTTGAAAATGTCTAAGATGACTGGTCGAAAATGTGCTTATCTTTTTTAAGAGTATATTATAGAGCTTTTTGCGACATCCAACGATAAATGATGTCGAATAGTTGTATGCCACACATGAAGCTAAACATGGCTTTCCCAGAATGCTTGGTAGTATTGATTGTACGGATTGGGAATGGGCAAATTGTCCCAATGCATGACATGGTCAATTCACACGAGGTGATAATGGTGTGTCGACTGTTGTACTAGAGACCGTTGTTTCACATGACCTATGGTTTTGTCATGCATTCTTTGGTATGACGGGGTCAAACAACGACCTGAATGTGCTTGGAGTGTCTTGAATATTTAACGATATTTTGTAGGGTAAAGCACCAACCATGGCGTTCGTTGTGAATGAACATCAATATGGGTATTACCTTGGGGATGAGATATATCCAAAGTACACTACGTTTGTCAAGTTGTACTCATTTCCGGCCGATGAAAAACGAAAATTGTTCAAGTTAGCACAAGAATCGGCAAGGAAGGATGTGGAATGGGCGTTTGAGGTCCTCAAACAAAAGTGGCACATTATCAAATATCCGGTTCGGTCATGTGATAGATCAAAATTGACGAAGGTGTTGACCGCTTTTGTTATATTACATAACATGATAATAGAAGAAGATGGTAGAACTATTTGTATGTATACCTCGGATGATATGCTTAAATCTTAGTCCACCTGCAGTTATACAAGTCGGCAGCCCGACATACTTCCCAAGACTTTTGAAATACAAAACAGTAAAACACATCATAATCTATGATTTGACTGAGCATTTATGGCAAAGACAATTCCAACAACACGATGACAATAACGACGACGAGGATGAGGACACGGAAGACGAAAACAGGATCGGTGACGACGCGGACGAAAACAATGACAACTAATATTTTCTATGTTTTTTAGTAATTTAGGATTTAAATGTTTATATTTTGTTAAGTAATTTAGATTTTAGATTTTCGTTTTTTAAATAAATGTAAGATGTTTTTAATTAATATTTATGTTTTTATTTTTGTTTAATGTAAAAAAATAATAAAATAAAAAGAAAAATGATGTAGAGTGGTAATAATTTTCAAGGGTTAATAGGTTGGTAGTGAGTTTATAGTGGAGTTGATTGGTGTTACTTTTTGAATATGTTAGGTTTGACCATACCCCTTAGCCCCTTAGCGTAATCGCAATTTCCTTTCTTCTAAATAGATTCATTTGTAAGAACATAACAACTCTCTTGTAAAACCTAAATCGTTTTTTAGCATTTCTTCTTCCGTTAGATACAATTTCATTCACGTGTTTGCTTAGTGGAATAATAAAACGCATGAACCCAAATGCTTCAAGGTTTTTTGGAAAGAAATTAATGCACTTAGCAGCTTTATCGTACCTTGTAAAGATTGCTTTGTTTAATCCTATTGACCGGTTTTTATCCATTGACTTTTTATTCTATCCATGCCAAACACATTGTCAAATGATTTTATTTTGTCCAATCCAGTTATGTTCTTCATGCCAAACGCTAAAGATTCACTAATTTCGATCTTAGTTGTTTGAATAGTGCCTACATTTTCAAAGACTACGTACATGTTGATGAACATATGATCTTGATTGAATGGTATTCACGATAACAACGAACACAAAGAATAATAACATAATGCCATCTTTTCTCCAAAAGCTGACTCGGATCTTTCACTACAAAACATTTTATTTATAAAAGCTAACGAGAAATGTTATTCATAAATTATGCACCCGACACGAAAAGACGTAAACTTTTAAATGTATAATATAATATCACGTAAATATTTACCAAATTACAAAGATGTAACAATAATTTTCTTTTCTTTTTTGTATTAATTGAAAATCATATAAAATAATATTAAGATATGTACACTAAAAGTCATGGGTATCCTTACATTTCGAATCCATAGATATCCTCCTGTTTAATTGGTAATGGTTATCAAATAAGATTTTTCAAAACTTTATACTAAATAAAGAAATAAGGAAACATGGGGGAGGAGAAGCATATATACTTTGCATAATTCGAATTATGTTGCTGAAAGTAAAATTTCAAGTTAAGAATCTTTATTGTTTCGTCTCCCTTTAGTCCATTATAAAACCAAGGTTCAAAATATTCCCCTCTTATTTTCCTCCCGTTCCATTTTCGATCGCTCAATATTACTTGCGTACAAATTCTCTTTACAAATTAATACCTTCAACTACAAATGACAAACTCCATAATGAGCTTGAAGCTTTTGGTCAACAAAAAAGATCGCAAAATCGTGTTTGCTGAAGCAAACAAAGACTTCATTGACTTCCTCTTTTACATGCTCACATTACCTATCGGCGCAATCATGAAGCTTCTTGCAAATGAGACCTTATTAGGTAGCCTAGGAGACCTTTATCAAAGCATCGACAACCTAAACGACATGTATATCTTACAAAACAAGACCAAAGACACTGTTTTAAACCCAAAACTATCTACTCATGTTCCTCATCTGCAAGATCTCCTCTTATTACCAATAGATCCTCCGACCACTATGGAAAGAAAGTTTTATAGATGTTCCGCCTCTAACCACCGTTGCAGACATGTCACTGATGAGCCAAAGACCGTGTGCCCTAATTGTCGGTATCCCATGTCGGAGGAGGTGGCTTATGTTGGTCCAGATACATATAAGGTGGCCACAATAGTGTCGGCCGGAGAAGTTGGTTTTGTGAAAGCGGTGGTCACTTATATGGTTATGGATGATCTATCCGTGAAACCTATGTCCACCATTTCCACCATAACTTTGCTCAATAGATTGAGTATCAAAGATGTTTGTGTTCTTGAAGAAAAGGAAGTCCATTTTGGAATTGCAGAGGTATGGATACGTATATGTTTTCTTTTATTTTATTATGAGGTTTCCATATTTTTCGTTCTTACCCGGAACACAAAGGCGAAACGACTCCATTTTAAGGCTCATAAGGCTGGTAGATATGGGTCACACCATATCTGCTAGGAAATAGCTACCATACCATATTATTATTATTATTTTTAAATTTAATGGCTATAAAAAGTAATGAAATTAAATGGGAAAACATGATTGTTCAATTGCTTATTTTTTTTCTCCATCGACGTTAAGTTACATTGTCTCATTAACATTTCTTAACATAACATGCTAAGGAGGTGATGTTTCAAAAGCCTTAGCATGTTAAAGAGGTGTCAGGGTCCTCCACGCAAGTAGAGGACCCATACCTGATAGTCCAAGTCAGATGTAAAATCATTCAAACCATGGCCCAACCAAAGTGGACTCATCATCTTATCATTTTTAACAAAAATCTTCCAAAAAATGAAAACACCTTTAAGTTTTAAAAGAAACCATTCGTTTGTTCATATATTTCCCCCAACGTTTGAAAATTTAGGGTTTAATGGGATGTTTTTGTTCAAATTCTTTTGATTCTCGAATTAAATTTTATGAGTTTTGTAGATTTAAGTAGTAAAAGATTAGTTCTATTTAATGATTTTTTGTTGAATACACTATTGGTTGCAGGGTTTAAAGCTACTAAAAGCCTCGCTAGAATGCAAGAATGTATTAACTCGTGTATTCCTTGACTCTGAAGACCATGTCGAAATTGTTTAAACAAAGATGTATTATATATATATATATATATATATATATATATATATATATATATATATATATATATATATATATATATATATAAAACCTTGACGACTAATAGTTTATCTCGTGTGAATAATTAGATTCCATTTCATAAACCTTCGAACACATTGAGATATTTGCTCTATGACTATATGTCGTGTTAAATAAAAAAAAATGAACACATATGTGATAGGTTGATAAATATATAGAGTTTGTACATCAAATCTCATCATGGGCAAAATGCAAATGGGACAATATATAACATTAAGGCATTCACAAACGGAACATTTTAGAGAATTTTAAATCAGGTATATCTAACATCCATTTGTTTAATAAAGATTGCAACAATTTATAATTTAGGATCATGCATGAAAATTGCAATGACTTCTTTGGTAAATCATTGTATGGCGTATATGCCAATTGCCGTTATCATTAGACTATATGGAGTGGAGCATGATACTGTCTATGGGGTGTGACATACATCATCCATCTCAAAAAAAAAAAAAAAAAAGATGATATGGAACATTAATCACATGACACTATCGGCGTTGCTCCCTCTTCTTTTTTCTTCCACTTTGTAACGTCCCAAAAGTTCGAACCAAAATTTTCATTTTCAATATACAAGTTTAACAACCCAAATCGCATTTCATAAAATGCAAGGTACCATACGTTTAAAACACCATTATCATCTAGAGAAATTTATTAGAAAATACGGAAACCAAATATCATAAAATAGGAGATACAGGTGTGTTACGGTCCAACTGGAGCCTTCCCACTACCAAAAGCACGACCTGAAAACATTTAATCGACAACAATGAACATGAAGCTTAACGAGTTTTCCAAAATACCACAAATATCACAATAATAACTATACATGAAAGTATTAGGCCTCTTAATCTCACGACTGGTTCTGATCTCAATACCATCCTAATCGGGTACTCATTGACTTACAAAATGCCATGATCTTGTCATCAATTCGTCGAACTTTTTTTTGACTCATGGCCTACCTTGATCTTGTCATTGGTCAAACAAAGAATATAATATACCAATCAACAAGCAAACAAGAAACCAGCATCAAACAAAAATCCACGAGCAAGACCTTATTGTTCTAACTAATGTTTGATTTTAGGGTCTCAAGAATATCAATTTACTTGGATATTTCTTGGATCGTGATTGCAACAACTTTCAAAAATCTATGATTTCCACCTTATAGTTAAACGGAAGTTGCATACTATTAGGCACCAAATTTGTTGGTTATTAAGGCATAACCAACTTATGACATCATCATGATATCACTTATAGTTTTTTGTGGGAATTGGCATGGCTGGACTCATATTTGATATAGAAATCCGTTTAGTAAATGAAGCTCATCCTAGCGGAACAACCACCGGGGGATCTACCCCTTGGACCCTGCTAGGGGCACTTCCCCTAGATCCCGCCATGGGGGAAACCCCTTGCAACCCTACACCCAGGGGCGCTACCCCGGGCCCCCGTATTCTTGAGTTCACATTTTATTACTACGAGTGTGCACCTCACACCTCTTATCTTGGTTAGCAAATGGAGCTCAACCCATCTCATTATTAATAATAATTACACCAAAAATATGTTAATAACACTAAATTCACCAACAACTAAGCATACTAACATGTCATCGTATGATACATATATCCAACACGCAAAGGATTGATCCCTTAAATCTAAAATTCAAAACTTCATATTTGATTCTCACAAAGGTCTTAATGGATAAAGTTTCTAACTTTATCCATCAGGAAGGCTTAAACACTCAATAATCTAAATCCTAAGTCCATAAATCCATTAAAAAAAAATGTCAAAACTAGGTGAATGGCCACATGAAGGTCTGGAAGTAAAAACGTATTCCAACAAAGTTTTAAAGTTCCTCAAACTCCAAGAACATGAATATGATGGGACAAAAATGACCTCTAAGCCACCAATATCCTACATCTAGCATGATATAAGCATACATGTTGGATCATTATACCTTCACAAGGTTTGAAAAATGATAAGAATGCAGAAGCTTGGCTATATCTGTCACACTTGCACAAAAAACACCACATACTTCTTTAAAATCACACCAAAAGGACAAGAAGAGCTCACAAGCACTAAAGAGACTAGGGTTAGGATGAGAGAATGTTCTATTGGGGTGGAGGTTGATAAATGACGAAACCATAAGGAATATTGCACTTAAATAGGCCCGAATCCTGAGCCCTCTAGTGTTTAGCTCATCACGCCCGTTGCGCCGCAAACATGTCGCACCATCACCTCTAAATCCCTCACGTCGTGACCTAGAGAAATTCCCAACACCTAACAATTCTAATTTAAAACATAGAAGTAAACCTGAAATCGAATGAAACCGAATGTTACACACTTTCTCTCTTCTATTTCCTTTCTTGCTACAATTTCATTCCATACATGACTTCCTTTGTATGTAAAAAAAATGAGGTGGAGGGTCCTTGTCATGTTACGACCATTTCACTTTTCCCTCTAGCCTTAACTGCTATCCTATTATGTTTGTCATTTTGTCAACAAGATTCCTCTATTTAACATAACTACAAGGTAATTTTAGACATATAACATTTTTTTTTTTGTAAATGTGTACTTGTGTAGAGAGTGAAATGCAACTGTAGTCATGGAACATATAAGGAAATTGCTTTGGCAAGAATATATTCTTGACCTAAAAATAATTTAGGTATCCCTTATGTAAAGGACACTCACTTTCAAATTTGTTAAATATGGATTGATATGGGAACAATTACCTACATAAAAAACATTCAACAATCTTCTTTGTATTATAGATATCTAACCTTCTATTGTGTTGATTGTTCCCATCGATGTGGGACATATAAAAGTTTCTAACTTAATGAAAAATAATAGAAAAATGCATGCTTAGCCTAATTCATTAATTACTCTCCAAGAAAATATCTACAATTTTAAAAACAACCTATATAGTCATCAAAACATAATTTGACATTCATGGGCTGCAATTTAGCTAATGGGTTACAGTTTCATATGTGTTCAATTTTTACTTTTTACCAACTTTGAACTCCCATATCTTTCTCATAAGAATTATAAATGACCTGATATATTTTTTTTCATTATGTCATTTGTAACAAGGGTTTTCCATTGATATATTACAATCAATATTTGGACATTATGAAGTCCCCTTTTCAAAGCTCCAAAATACGCCTTTGGGGTTGTTGAAACATTTCTCCAAGACTTAAAAAAATTTCTTACCTTTTCTCATTTCATGGAAACTTTTGCCATAACATCAAACATCTATAATATTCTCATATGAATTTTGATTTAGTTGATTCTTTTATCTATGGACTCATTATCCGTCGACTACCACTATGATTTAGAAAACCAAAAGCTTGAATGTCATATGGAATCATATTTTAATTTTTAGGTTTTTACAACAAACTTATGAAAAATTAGTTTTCTTAAATTTCATAGTTTTGCAAGTAACCACCTACTATGACTTTCAAAAATCATGACTATTTTGATTATTTTACTATTTTTAGTTAAATTTATGCGATTAATCTAATTTATCTTTTATTTTCTATTTATTATGAATCATATAATATTTAATAAATATTTTTCATCATTTGGTTTAAAACACTCACAATTTTTTTATAAACTTTCTATGTTAACATAAAAACTATTACTTTATATTTAATAAATTATTTTTAATAATATATAATTATGTATTTTATAAGTTTATCAACAAATAAACATTCACCTAATTTTTTACATATACCACAATCACCTTACTTGTAATAAAACTAATCTAAACTTTAATTCGAGTGGTTGAAATTATTATAGGTAAAATTTACTCCAAATATTAATGTGGAGTCTCACACGACGTTCATGACCCAATTTAAGTGAGAGAGTTACAGAGAAGAGTCTTTTTTTTATTTTTAATATAATTCCCCAATCGTATCAAAAATTTAGGAATTGAAAATTTGTTTTTTTATAATTCAAGAATCTCACACTCATCTTTGCTATCAGAAGAGTTCCTTTGTTCTTCGTTTTCCAGTCTCCATTTCCCCTCACGATTTCATAAACTGTAAGTCCTCTAATCTCTCATTCTACTTTCTAATTACAATTCCATATACATGTCGCGTATTTTGGATACCGATTTGATTTTCACGACAAACCCTAGAAATCAGGGTTGGAGTACATTTATTTCCCTCAATTTCGGTTTATATTCGTTTCCACAACTCAGATCCATAAACTAGGTTATTTCACGCTTTCCTTTGGTTTTACGTCTGTAATAAGAACTTACGAATTTCCTCTTCAACAAGCTTAGGTATATGTATATATTGATTGCTTGATTCGGTATCTGTTTTGCTCGAATTTTCTTTCGATTCTCGCAGGTGAAAATTTTCAATTCTATTAAGGTCCTGAAGTTGGCATTTTGTGGTTCAGTGACAAAACACTGCGTTAACATAGATTACAAAACCCTAGAGTGGATTTCGATTATACTTCGGGATTTTGAAGTGGAATGGTAGGGAAAGAGGATGAAGCTAGTGGGGAGAGTAATAACATCGACAGTGCTGGTTCACGACTCCATCATCCCATTCCAGGTAACAGGAAGATGTATTGGAGGTCAGCTTCATGGTCGTCTTCTCATGTATCATTACCACCACTTAATCCCGACAGTGTAAAAGACACTTCAGATCCAAGTAATGGTGGACAGATTCGAAGGTGTCCTGTCCCATTAACTCCTAGATCAAACAGTAAAGGCCGATCATTTCTACCACCATTATCAATTGCTAGAAGAAGCTTAGATGAATGGCCAAGAGCAGGTTCAGATGATGTTGGTGAGTGGCCAATTCCCAGCACACCTAGTGGCGAAAGGCTAAAGCTTGATTTATCATCAATCCAAAGAATCCCAGATAAGAATCCTTCCCTTGTGAAAAGAGATAAGATTGCTTTCTTTGATAAAGAATGTTCAAAAGTAGCAGAACATATCTTCTTAGGTGGTGATGCAGTTGCACGCGATAAAGACATACTCAAAGAACACAAAATCACTCACATTCTCAATTGTGTAGGCTTTGTTTGTCCTGAATACTTCAAAGGACATTTCGTGTACAGAACTTTATGGTTACAAGATAGCCCTTCAGAAGACATAACAAGCATACTATACGATGTGTTTGATTACTTTGAAGATGTTAGAGAACAAAATGGGAAAGTTTTTGTACATTGTTGTCAAGGGGTATCTCGGTCAACTTCATTGGTGATTGCATATCGTATGTGGAGAGAAGGTCAAAGCTTTGATGATGCTTTTCAATACGTAAAAGCTGCAAGAGAAATCGCAGATCCAAATATGGGATTCGCATGCCAACTTTTACAATGTCAGAAAAGGGTACATGCGTTTCCTTTATCTCCAAGCTCATTACTTAGATTATATAGAATTGCACCTCATTCATCATACGACCCTTTACATCTTGTTCCAAAAATGTTAAATGTTCCTTCCCCAGTTGCTCTAGATTCTAGGGGTGTCTTCATTATGCATATACCTTCAAGTATTTACATTTGGGTGGGTGTAAAATGTGGATCTTTAATGGAAAGAGATGCAAGAGGTGCAGTTTGTCAGATTGTTAGATATGAAAAGGTTCAAGGGCCGATAGTTGTGGTGAAAGAAGGGGAAGAACCTTCTTACTTTTGGGATGCTTTTTCGAGTCTTTTACCTTTGATGGATAAATCAGGCAAGGTGATTGATGTTTCAAAGTTGACTAAAGTAACCCCGGGTGATAGAATAGTTGACTCTTACAATGTTGACTTTGAGATTATACAGAAAGCAATTGTGGGTGGATTTGTCCCTCCTTTTGCTTCTTTTGAAACTGAACAAGAAACTCATTTACCAGTTAGAGAAAGTAGTTGGAGTGTTTTGAGACGTAAATTTGCACATGGAAACATGAAGGAGTTTGTTTTAGCTTCCAAATCTGCCCCTTCTAGAGTCTACCCTGATTCTTCTTTACTCATGGGTTCAGATAACAATTCCAATTCAAATTCTAATTTTCTTTTTTCTTCAAGATCTTCGTTTTCTTCATCATCATCATCATCATCATCATCATCATCTCCTGATTCCCAATCTTCCGATTCCACCATTAGCTCCTCCAAATGCTATTCCGATTCCCCTGTTGCATCTCCTTCTGTATTGTCAACATTTTCAACTTTATCACTTGCTCCGATTCTTCCATCTAAACTCTCCCCTCATTCCATTTCCAAAACCTCTGAATTCATTGATGTGAATTTCACTTCAAACTCATGTTCACAATCAGTTTTATCACCTTCAAAAAGGTCTTCACTTTCGATTGCTGAACGCAGAGGTAGTGCTCCTAAATGTCTTAAACTACCAATGATGAGTGATGACGAATCTCTTGTTCAGGGCTCTTGTTCAAATGGTTTGACCGAGTTTGACCAGAAATCTAAAGCTTCACAAGAAGATCAGAATGTGAAGCAAGAATTAGTGGTGCTTGAATGGCCTAGTTTGGAAAAGGTTATGAGATTTTATGCTGGTGACATGGATTCCAGTCGCGTGTTTATTTTCGTGACTCCGGAATCAAGTTCCGGAATTGGGGATTCCGGTTTGTATTTATGGGTGGGAAAAGGTTTCTTGCATGATAAAGATGACGCAAGGTGTGCTGAGTTGGCAGATTTTTCTGTGAAAGAAGTTATTAATAATCTTGTTTCCAAGATGGGTTTGTCAAAGGACACTCATGTTAAGGTACGAATCATATTTCAAATATTTTTTTACTTAGTATTAATTAATATTAAATAAACAAAAAAATGTTTTTTTTTTTTTTTTTTTTCACACTAAGTCCACGTGGCAGGTGGTGAAGCAAGATGAAGAACCGTCAGAATTTGTTGCTCTCCTGAGTTCATTGTAGTAGGGTGTAGTGATCAGGTGTTGTGCAACCTTTCCTGTTCTCTCTGCAGCCTAGATATATATAACATTCCAGCAAAAAAAAAAAAAATGCTGGAAAAAAAACATTGAGATTGAGGTACTAATGTCACTTTAATTTTATTCCATGTTTTTTTTTTAAATATATTTCAAAATGTTTATTGTTTATATTTTTTTATTTGCAGAATGTATCAAGGGTTCAGTGGCAAACTAAGCAAATCTGCTCCTTTTGTGTTCTAACCTCTCAACACATTGGTTGTATTGTATATTTATCTTTGTTAAACAATTTTATATAATCGTAATTTAAGGGAGGAGTAGATTCACTGATAATGCTTTGATATTAAATGTAGCATTTTCTACCATTTTCATGATAATTTCTAGTATGAATTTGATGGATGCACAAACTTTATGTACACATTTCAGACCAAAATGTGTGCTGTAACAGTGACACATTTAATTGAAGAACAAATTAAGATGAATATATTTATATGATAATTTTGTTGACCATAGTCGTAGTTAAAGAGACATTTTAGAAAAGCAACACTTGAACTATCGAATTATGTAAAGTATATATGCTTCTTCTTTTCACCATGTTTCCTCCTTTTCTTTTGCCTTTATGAAAAAAATTGAAAATTCGTATATTGATCCATGTTTTCTAGTCTAATTTGATATTTTATGTTGACTCACAACTTACATATCAGTATTTAATCGTAATAAAAAATGGTTTTACATGAAACCATTTGTGATAATCGTGTATGTGTTAAATTGTTAATATAATCTTCATAAATTTATCCAATTTTGTGTCGTATTGCCTCCACATCCTTCTTTTTAATAGCTTTTTCGTTGTTTCAAGATATTCTAAAGTGTAACCTAGTGGTAAAATTCTAGCAACTATAAGACTAGTATGGAGTATGGAATAATGCTTTTCAAGACAGCAAAGCAACCACTTATGTCGATTAATTGTTCATTAAAATTATTTAATAACTTATCTTCTTTGTTTTTCAGTATGAGGCCTTAAAACAAAAACTAATTATTTGTAATATTTTGAGTATCAAGCCTATGCAACATTTTTTTTAAGGCTTGCTAAAATATTGTTTTACTTGGATATACTAGATGATTAAAGTTTTTATTCATATAAGTTATGAGTTTCTGTTTATTTTATTTTGAAAGATACAGTGAATTATAGTTTTGGTCTATGCTGTTTACTTGAAAAAAACAAATAAATAAATTAAAAAAAAAATAGCAGAACTTTCTAATTTTTGAAATAATGGTAATCGCTTTTGGTCCTAAATCTTTGGGGGTTGTTTTTTCGGTTGGTTATATTTATTTTGGTCCCAAATCTTTGGGGTTGCTTTTTTCCAATAAACATTAGTTACATTTATGTTACTATCCTTGTGGTTTATAGATTTAGGGTTTCAATTTTTTTTCTATATGGAATTTACAGAAATGCTCCTTGATGTATATAAGTTCTAACAATTTTAGTTCGAGGGCAAAAAGATGGGAAATCTCATCATTTTACATGTACTTAACAAAGATTTTTAGATGTTAACTAGGGATGAGCAATTGAGCATTTGACTTGTTGGAACCAAATTGGATCGGAGAAAAACCAGAATCGAAATTGAACAGAAACTGAAATCGAGGTATTCGATTCGATTCTTTGTTTTTCATTTCCTACTAAATTGGTTTTCAGTTCTTTGGTTCTCGATCCAGGTCCAGACAGATGCTCATCCCTAATTAGATAGTAACAGTCTTAGGAACCACCGATGCAACTTTTAGAAACCACATGGATGATCCATATCAAAAATTAAAAAGATGGACTAAAACTTCATATAGATATAAACCACAGGACCAAACTGTAATTTACTCTAAAAGATGTATCGTATTTTGAGCGTCACTCTAACGAGTAACCACCCACGTTTTATCTCACTCTCGCTCCCTTTTCTGAACAAAGACAAAGGACAACCACGTGTGTCCGGCCACCTAGCGCGTGTATATCACGCGCATTTCGTGTCTCTACAGTTTTACTTTTCCTGTCATCTTTCTTCGCGTCAATGTTCATAACACATCCCCACTCTGTTTGTGCGGCGGAGTACATGCAGATTCAAATATCGAACCCTTTGTTTCTCTTTTTTCGGTTTCCGATCTGTTTTACCGGAGACAATGGTGGAGACGGCGAGCGGAGAAGGAGATCACGCTGTTGAACATGAGTTATTGCTCTTGAACGATGCCAATATCAGCGGTGGCGGTGGTTGCGACGGCTCCTGGAGGTTGAACTTCGATGGATTTCAGTTTTCTTTCGAGCATAAGGAGAAACCTCCTCGACGACTCCATGACTATCTCAGGATATCAGGTGCTAATACACCATCGCTGTTTCCATTTGCTTCTTCATATTAGTTGCTACATTAGAAAACGATGATAGTTTGTCACGGATCATCGTTTCCATTTGATTCGTTTCTTCCGCTTTGATCCGTATTACTTAATAGATTAATATCTCACCTCGTTTGCATTCGTTTAAGTTCATCATGAACAGCATAGGTTTACCATTAAATTGAAGGATTTATCAAAATTGGATTGATATGCTAAAATTTACCAATCAAACATAAAATTTTGGGCAAAAATTCTTCAATTCCGTTCAATCTGTATTCAAGCTTACACTTCTGTGCTATCTGATTCATGAACATTGGGCAAAAATTCTTTAAGGCTGTTTTGTAACATTTTTTCATTTACTTGAACTTCCTCAGGGTCAGAAAACCATGTGGCAGAATATTATCAACAACAGGTAGAGATGCTGGAGGGCTTTACAGAAATGGATGCCTTAGCAGAACGTGGTTTTGTACCTCGTATGTCTGCAGTAAGTATTCCATTTACAGATGACCTGAAAACCTCTAATTGTTTGCCATTAGAGCGCATAATGTTGATTGTTTGACTTGCAGGAAGAGAAGGAAAGTTTAGCACGAAGGGAGACACTTGCCATTAACATATCTAATGTTGCAAACATGATTCTTTTCATTGCAAAAATTTACGCCTCCATTAAAAGTGGTTCATTGGCCATAATAGCCTCCACTTTAGACTCACTTCTTGATCTCTTATCAGGATTTATCCTCTGGTTTACAGCTTTCTCCATGCAGATTCCAAACCCTTATCTATATCCAATTGGAAAAAGACGAATGCAACCTTTGGTTAATTAGTCATTCAATCTCACTCTTTCTCTTTCTTCATGGCTAATCTAGACCCCTACATCTCATCTGAATTCATATTTTCAGGGAATACTCGTCTTTGCCTCTGTAATGGCAACTCTTGGACTGCAGATAATTTTAGAGTCTGTGCGCACATTAGCATCAAATGTAAGCAAACAAATTACCAACATCACTTCAATTACATTTTTTTTAAAAAAAAATTCCTTTACACATAGAATTTTCCATGATACTATTCCAGGAGAATGGGTTTAGCTTAACCACGGAGCAAGAAGAATGGGTTGTTGGCATCATGCTTTGTGTGACCTTAGTCAAACTTGTGTTGTGTATATATTGTCGATCATTCACCAATGAAATTGTCAAAGCCTATGCTCAAGATCATTTCTTTGATGTAGTCACAAATCTCATTGGCTTAATAGCTGTACTACTTGCTAACTATATCAGTGACTGGATGGATCCCGTTGGAGCTATAATAGTAACTTCTTTTCACCCCTTCAATCCCTCTTCGTTTCAAAAAACAACAGGTTATACTGCGTTTGACATGCACTTTGTGTTGTGTGGTGACAGCTGGCAATGTACACGATCAGGACGTGGTCTGTAACAGTGGTGGAGAATGTGAATTCTCTTGTTGGGAAATCAGCAGCACCTGAATACTTACAGAAACTTACGTATTTGTGTTGGAATCATCACAAGGCAATCAGACACATAGACACTGTAAGGGCTTATACGTTTGGGTCTCATTACTTTGTGGAGGTGGACCTTGTTCTACCCTTTGATATGCCTTTACAAACAGCTCATGATATTGGTGAAGCATTACAAGAAAAGCTTGAGCTGTTACCTGAGATTGAACGTGCTTTTGTTCATCTTGATTATGAGTTCTCTCATAAACCCGAGCATGCACATGCACATGTTTAAAAATAAACCCCAATCACAAGGAACTTGTCGATGTATTCATGATCTGTCTTTCAGGAGCTAATGATGTGTGTATGAACTATGATGAAAGCGAAAATCACCAGTTTCTAACGTATATAATCCAGATTTTTCATCTCATTTATCACGTGGGAGGATGATAATTGGAAACTTGGCTAACAATGCTTTCAGTGGTGTTGAAAATCATTTCAAGTATTTCGAAAAACTTATATAATCTCCTAAATCGTTAAAAAAAACATTGGATTCTCTTGGTATTAGTTTGTAAGGATACAAGCAATGAAGCAAATGTTCGTTCCATTTGTAACAATTACAGTTAAAATTTTAAAATTAAAAACAACTAAAATATTTTATAACCATCGACTAAACTACAGCGTGATTGATCATGATTGGAATCAATGGATGTGATTTATGTAACAAACAGAAGAAGAATAATATCAAAAATCTTCATAGAAACCAAAATTACTTCATTTGTAATTTTGAATGGTGCCCTAAATGGAGAGACATGAGCTCAACGGTGCGTAAGTAGTTTTCATGACTTGCTCTTCGGCTCTATGATTTCTCATGGATGGATTATGGATTGTCAAGCCTGTAAATCCTTATGGAAGCAAATGTTTTCGGGATTCAGGAACACTAAAAACATAATGTTTCAAGGATTTGGAAATAATTTACAGGAATTGGAATGTAAATTTTGGTAAATGTTGTGTGTGGTCGAAATAATCAAAGGTATAATTCTTTTTTATTCTATTAAATTATGTGTGTCAAGGAATTGGTCAAAGCAAACAAAAATGAAAATGCAAAAAAGATACAAGAAAATAATATTAGTTTGTGTTCTTTTTATGAACTTGTTGATGAAAGAATGTTAGTGTTTATTTATTTATTTTATATTTTATATTTCAAATTTGCTCATATTTACATTGCAAAAAAAAAAAAAAAAAAAAAAAAGAAAGAAAAGAAAACATCATCACAAATTTTGTAGATGAAAACGAGCATTTAGCGTTAGTCAGAAGTTAAATATAAATATGTGGTCATTTTAGATATTATTAAAAATATAATCGTCCGATCATTTTTGTAATTTTACTACACAAGTCGATTATAATTTATGAACCCTCAAGCTTTCGGAGGGAGGTCATTACAGTATACACTACAATTATAGAAAGAAATAAAAAAATTTAGACTAACTTAAAAAATCACTAAAGTTAAAGGACCATTTTTTTAATTTATTAGGTTAAAAGTTAAGATTCCACATTTATACAAAGCGAAAGGTCTAAGGGCTCCGTTAAATGTTGTCGTGTATCACATTATCTAATACAGTAATACTGAATGTGACGCGATATATATAATTAAATTTAGAACCGATGAGACGAACATATGATCCACTGATAGGAGTTAAGGAAAAGAAAGTCGTATATGAACAAAGAATATGGCGCGAATCTAGAACCAAAACCACATGGTTCCTTATGTAAATAAAATTAAAAAAATATGAAAGTGTAAAAATACTAATGGTTGCGAACGGAGAAGGTAAAAAGCGGTGTCGATTTTTTATCCGGAAACGGAGCAGTTCAACACAGCAGCGAGGGGTATGAGCGTCTTTCCGTTTCTATTTTCCTTTCCTTTTTTTTTTTTTTTTTTTTTTTTTTTATCTTTTTTATTTTAATGATTGGATTGGGCTATTGATTAGTGAAAGTGGTGTAAGATGTTGGGCTGTTAAATATAAAATATATGGGCTGATGATAAATTTTTTTTATCAAAAATAATTAGGTATGTCTTTTTATAAAAATTAGGTAGTTCTTATTTTTTTTTTCTATATATTCTTGTTCTATTAAAAAAAAAAGGTAGGTCCCTGCTCCTATACATTTTTATTAAAATTCTTAAAATAACATTGTTGAAAATAATAAATATTTAAAAAATACAATCTCATGTTTATTAATTTTCTTTTAGGGGCTAATTGTAATACATTGTGAAATAAGGGGAAATTGTATTAAATATAAGTTGTATTGGATTGTGAAAGGAAATTACAGGTTGAAGCATGTAGGTCTATATTCATGAGTTAACTTATATCCGGATCATGTTCATATTCGTGAACCGAGGTATAAAGTTAGAGAGGGTTAAGGAATTCATTCATTCAATCATTTTTTCAGATCAGATCAAATTGTTAGGATTTTCTCTCACGTTATCTCTCTCATTTTCTCATTTGTTTAGATTAGGGTTTGTACTTAAATCTTTGTATATACAAATGTTAGATGCGTTTGTATGATAGATATAGATTTGGATGAGTGATAAATCTGGAGAGTAGATTAGGGTTTTTGTAGTGAGTTTTGCTTTGCAAGTATCGTAAAAACATTCTGTTTCTTAATCATCAAATGATATAAGAAATGATGATGTTGGGAATGTTTGATTTGTCTATTTCAACATGGTATCAAAGTTGTAAGACTCTTGTTTCTTGATCCTGATGTTCGTCGATCATTTGGTGTTATTCCTTCGACGATCTGCTGAAAGATCTGTAAACCTGTGTGTTACCTGAGGTGTTGGGTAGTAATCTTTGGCTGGATCTTTGAAGAACAATCGATCAATCCCTCTAATCTGAAATAATTCTCTTAAGGTCGGATTTCATCACCGATAACTCTTGAAGAGAACAAATTCAGGGACTCGATTCTTGAACATCTCTGCCTATTGCATTGTGAGGGTTTCTTGTTCTTTTCTCCTTTTTAGTTGTAGATGTGGGAGATCCTGATTGTCTTGCATACACCAGTTATTATTTATGTTTACGCTTGTTTTCTACTTGTTTCTGGTTGTTCTTGACTTTGTGTTGACTGTATTGAGCCCCGACATACTGTGGTGACCATCTGGACTTTAAGTCAACATAGTTGTCTATTTTCTCTATGAATTTGTTTCATCTTCTGTGATTCACTTTATTTGTATGGTGATTGTTTTATGTTCTTTATGACTGGTGAAACTCCTGAAGGGAGTGGTACTCCCAAAGATAGTCCTATTGTAACGTCCGCAGATCTGAGCTAGTCAATTTAGAGGCAATAAGTGTCGAAAACGACTTTTTGAAAAAAGATTATTTAGAATAAATAATCTTAACTAAGTTTTAGAATATATCTCAAGGGTTCCGTACATATAAAGAGCACCAAAATCCGAGTTATAACGAAGAAGTTATGACCCGTCGAAGTTTTACGGCAAAACCGACACGACATCGAGAATCGTAAAAAGTGAATTTACGATAAAATACTTTCTAGCCTTAGCGGTCTAAAAAAAAGTCGTAGTATATGTTAAACCAAGAGCGTGTATAAAAAGAACGTCCAAATCTGACTTCGTATGAGGAAGTTACGGTTTTTCTAAGATTTAGCATAACAATGCACAACCTGGAAATTCGAATTTTAGATCGGTCGATTTTTAGCCAAAATATTCTAAAAGATAAATGAAGATATCGTTAATAGGAGTTAAACGATAAAAAGACAGTCGAAAACAGAGCTCGTATGCGAAAGATATGGACGAAGCTTAGTCTCTGCTCTTCAAGCACGACGAATTTGATACAGTTTTGTAAATCTGAGATAGAATGAGAATTAGCTGACAGAGTCTAAATGAAAGTTGTAGTACTCGTAAATACCAACATGTTGATATAAATAATGTTGAGAATAGAGCTCGTATGTTAAAGATATGGACGAAACTTAGTCTCTACTCTTCAAGCGCGACGAATTCGATATAGTTTTGTATATCTAAGATAGAATGAGAATTAGCCGACGTGGTCTAAATGAAAGTTGTAGTAATCGTAAATACCAACACGCGGATATAAAGAACGTAGAAAATGGAGCTCGTACGTGGAAGATACAGATGAAACTTAGGGCAATAAAACCCCTATAAATAAAGGGTGAACCCTTCAGATTTTATTCACACCATAAGTCTTTCTTTCTCTCTCTAACTTCTATCTAGACTCCCTAACCCCCCCCCCCCCCCCCCTAAAGCCTAGGAAACTTCCCTAGCGCTAGAAGAAAGCCCCGAAGCGCACGAAGGCTCCGAGAAAAAGAACTTCTCGGCTCAGAAGCTCTGCTCCAGCGGAGCCCGATTTTTAATAAAACTCACTGCAAGTGAAATAAGCCTACCATACTTTAAATATAGCTTATATTTAAATATAATATCGTTATTATGAACCTAGAAATAAGATTTATCAGTGATTCAAAGTCGTTATACTGAGTGATCTACTTACGAGAATGATGTCTAGGCGGTGATTTAGTGAGGCGTTTAAAGTGGGATTTCCAAAAAGTATACTTCGTATACCAAACGGACCCTACCTCTGATATGATCCTACCTGGTTGTTCCTTACTTGATAGATCATGAAAGTAGACTTTGAGTTAATGATGAATCTAGACTAATAATTTGTCCCAATAAAAATTACACTAAAACTTAGCGATAATAACGCTAGGTTTCGTCGAAGGAAAATAGAATCGTTAAAAGCGAAGCGCTGCCCGAGTTTGGAATCATCACTTTAACAAGTGAGTGCATAGTTACTTTCATCTTACACATAGATATGAAGTATTTTATATAAATTACGTGCTATGTGTGTATACTATCTGAATACTTGCTGTCTATGCTAGATGAAACGTTTTATACATGTTTTAAATGATCTAAAATGTATATGCATTTTATATCTACAAAATGTGTTGGGTAAAACATGGGTAGATTAGAGGTGAGATAAATGATGAGCGTTGAAAGATGAGATAAATGATGAGCGATGAAATATGAGATGAATGATGAGCGATGATATATGAGTGATAAATTATGGTGCAAAGCGATGAGCCAAAGCGATGAGCCAAAACGATGAGCCAAACGATGACCCAAGCGATGGCCCCCATCATCTAGCAGAGTATGGATGACAACCACAGACTATTCTAGACAGTCTAGAGGAACACCAGCAGGCTCGCTACCTGTAGGTGTTGTGAACGATGTGTTCACCCGGTGTACTCTAAAAACCCATTGACAGGTATTATGAGTGGACTCTCGAAAATGATACTGTCAATAAACGAGACAAACCCTGACGACTATGCAGACTTAGTGTCGATTCCTTAGGATACTCCTTAGGAATGAATGAACGAGGAATAGCTGAATCTTAGGGTAGATAATTAAGAGTAAAGAAGATAATGGGGAAGGGTAATTGGGTTGATTGTTTGATGTTTAACATAATAATTATATTATTGTGGGTTGAAAACCCTATGTACTCACCAGGTTTCCTAACCTGA